TCTTTTGCTTATTTCAAAATTATGTTAATCCATTTGCAAGAATAAATTGAATTTTGGAAATAAATTGAATTTCAGAAATAAATTGAATTTCAGAAATAAATTGAATTTCGAAAAGATAAACTTGGAATAAATATATAGAAATATATTCAATGTCATGACAAACATAGGAATGATAAAAATTCAAATGACTCAACAAATCATTAGCATAAGTATTTCTAAACTAATCAACTTGATATAATTTAGAGTACTGAGGTAAGCTTAAGTCTGGAAGATCTTGAACGTTGCCAGAATGCTTGTAGATGTGAAGTTCCTCCCAAAATATCAAACTTTTTAAGAGGGTTTAATTGCCAGATCTAAAGGTGAAATATTAATGAAGTATTCGATATCTTGAAATAAGGTTTAAGTGTATTCAAATTTATTATTATTTTAGTTATCTTTAAATTTTATTGAAAAATAAATTAAGAGAAATTGATTAGTTGACAATATTTATATAGTTTTATTTATATTTTTAATGCATATGTATATATTCAATTCGGTTTTTTAGTTTTGATTGTTGGTTATGAATATATATATACATTTTTTGAAACAAATTAATTCATATTTTGGCTAAGTATGATATTTTAGTAGATTTGTTGAAATAAAATGTCTTCAAAGTGATTTTTTTGTGTAGACTGATTTATTTGAAATACCAAGATGATTATGTGTTTCTTGTGATTTATGCGTTTATTAATTGACCCAAATGAAAGTTAATATTTGGCCGGATTTCAAGCGACACATGTGATAATAACATGTGACAATTATAAGGTATTTATTTTAGGCATAATGCAACAAAATAACCTTAACGTTTGACAGTTGTGTCAAATTTGCCCATATTGTTTTTTTGGAACATTTGACCCATTAACGTTTCATTTTAGGGCAAAAAACACCCTCGTTGGATAAAAATCGTTAGTTAACTAACGATCAACGCATGGAGATGATGTGGCAAGCTTACATAACATCGCACGCTGACATGGCAATGCCACATATGCAAAGGTAATGACATGGCAAATGCCACATCAACAAAAATTAATTTTTTTTAAATAATTATAATATTTTTTAATAATTTTCAATCAGTACAAAGATGACATGTCATCATTCATTGACTTAAATATAAAATTGAACTCAAAGCTCACTTATTCTTCTTCTTCTTCTTTTCTTCTTTTCTTCTTTTCTTCTTCTTCAATCTTCATTCTTTATCGACAAAACACTGAAAAAGGAAGAAAATTACTAATCAAATTAAACTCAACCCCATGATTCACTTCTCATTCTCCTTGTCAAAACCCTCACTCTTTTCAACTCCTAAAAGTCACCCAAACAACAATAAAAGTAAAATATAATAGCAATTTGAATACATGAAGCCAAACTGCAGAAATTCCTTCAAAAAAACTAAAGGGAAATGTGCCATCTGTTTTTCCAAATTATAGTAATACATATAAAAGTGAGACTCATGAGCAAAAAACCTAAAAAACAGACTGCCTATCAAAAATTCATATAATAGTAAATATCTTAACCTCGTTTCATCATCAAGCACCGGTAATCGTCGATTTACGACCGCTTCCTACAGTAAACATACACCGCAGCAGCCGTAACAACAATGGCACCGGTCGTTCCTGCTGCCACAAGCGACGACACACTCAGCCCTTTCCCTCTACTCCCAGTAGTCCCTACAATCTCCCTTGACTAGTCATTGATGAACTCAGCGGTCTTCTTCTCCACCTCCTCCGTCAATTCCAGCAACTTTATTTGCAACCCCATGACCTTCTCCTCGGATTCTCGTTGTCCTTTCCTAGATGGGTTGGAAAGTAAACAAAATAAAACACGCCCAGCATTCCTTGAGCAGGTGGTGGTTTTTATGTTGTTACGCCAACTCTGCTGTTTTTCCATGATCAAAACCTGAATCTCAATGAATTACCAACTATTACCAACAAAGAGTATGCTGCTTGGCAAAAAATGAATTATTTGCTTTTCTCCATCATCAGAAGCGAATATGAAGCTCTTGTTTTAGGCCTATTTCTTCAAATACATAATCCGAAAAAAGTATCACTATCCCTTTTTATGATCGACAAGAATCTAATTACCCAGAATTTCCGAACAACAAAGTCGTTCCCCTTTCCTACAGTTAGAAGAAATCAGTTCTCAGTCACAACGCTAAGCAGCCCAAAACCAAAGAATCTCGTGGTAAAAATCGTTGATTCTCTAAGCGAAAAGTTTATTCCATAGGCTAAACTGGGAAGAACATACGAGCAGTGCGGTTCAGATGATAAATGAAAGATGATTCCATAAAAATAAAAATAACACAAAACCTTATTTAACCCATCATAAAAGTTGAAAGTGAGCAGAGAGAGAGATGGAGCTAGAGAGGAAATTGGGGGTTTCAGAAGTGAGGGAAACGAAGGAGAGGAGCAAGAGAGTTAGGACTAAAGAGGAAACCAGGGACTAGGTAGATGGATTGAAAGGTGAAGGTAGATGGATATTGAAAGGTAAAGTCATGGACCAATAGGAGAGTGACACATATTGCTCTCTCATTGGTACAAAATTCTAAAAAAAATATTAATTTTTTAATAAAAAAATCTGACATGTCAATTCCACGTCAATATACATTAGTGACGTGGACACACTACATTATCATTTGTGTCCACATGTGTTTGCTTAGTCAGCTGGAGGCATTGACCGTCAGTTGACTAACGGTTTCCATTCAACGGGGTGACTTTTGAATCAAAATGAAACGTTAAGGGGTCAAATATTCCAAAAAAAACAATACGGGCAAATTTGACACCACTGTCAAACGTTAAGGTTATTTTATTGCATTATGCCTTTATTTTATGTGAGCATTACATTAGACCAAAGATTAGTCTTTTGTTCGACATAACTTATTGTCAATGTTTGATTACCACAACAAGAGTACCGTTTACTGTTAATATTATTGTCCAAAGACTTGATATTGATGTAGTGTTTGGTATCTTGTGATGAGAATTAGCCATAATTTTGAATTTATTTGTTTACTTAAGATGTGAACTTCAATTTTATTTATATTTTATTCTATATTTAAATGATTTATTTATTTGTTACTACAATATATGCTCTATGAAAAAATGTACTTAGGAAATTGAATATTAATGACTGGAAAAATGCACTTACATAAGGTTTTGGTTGTATGAATATATATTTTGTGCTAAGTAAAGAACAATTTTCACCTTTGATGGGGGATAACATTCTTAATTGGTATAAGGGATTTTGAGAGGTGAAATTTGTTTAAATTTCATAAGTCTAGTGGTCATGAAGCACAATATTTTAGAAGCCTTTATGGGTACATAATCTAAAAAGATTAATGGTTTTTTCAAAATTAAAAACAATAAGGTTTAAATGACATCACTTTTGACTTTTTTGATGTCTATAAAGTATAAGGGTCAGGAAATGTGAGGAGGTACATCATGGATATGTTTCATATTGCTTCAAGACTTAAAACACTTAATATCGAGTTATTTTTCTAAAGAAATACTCATTCTTATAATTCCAGTATTGCTTCCTATAGAGTTTAATCAACTCAAAGGGAATAATGAACTCTAAATGAGCTCATTTTTCATTGTGTGTAGGAGGAAGAAAGCTTGAAGCATAATATGTTTGAAAGTACTCATTTGAAAAATGCATATAAAGATAAGGGAAAAAATAAAATCATAATATAGTTGTTAAGGGTCTAACTTAAAAGAGATAACAATATGTTACAAATGGTTGTTCTCTTTTGTAATAAGTTAGAACATATGAGAAGAAATTAAATTCTAAAATAGTAAGCAACTACTTTGGTTATTCTGAGCGATCCATGGGTTATAAGTTTTATGATCTCATGATTAGGAATATTTTTTAAGGAGATCTATAATACTATCTTTTACGGTGTTGAGTTTGGAGAGAGAAATAAGGTTTGATGAATTGATTTTGAGGAGGAATTGGATTATTACTCAATTCCTATTATCACTTTTGATGATATTCATGTGTTCATACATGTCATTGATCAAGAAGTGAATCTAGAAATGTCAACAAGATTATTTTGAAACTGTAATACCCTAAATTTTGACAAGTGACTAAAATATAAGTTTTGAAAGTTTGAGGGCTAAAATATAAACTTTGTAAAAGTTTAGGGACAAAAAAATGTAATTTTAAAAAGTTATAGATTTTAGCTAATAAATGAAAAGTTTGGCCTAAAACGAGAATTTTTGTGGGAATCAGATTTTCAGTATGAGATTTGTGTTAAAAACTATAAAGCGATAAAGTTCGGTATTGAAATCAGATAATCGGATTAAACCGGAATTTTACGAAAATTTGAAGGATGTTATAAAATGGTTGAAAATATTATTTTCATATTTTATATCAGAGAAATTTGGCTCCTAAAATGTAATTTTTTAGATTTGATCGAACAGTGGGATTTTAGTGACTAAAATGAAATTTTGGAAAATTTGATTGTCAAAAAGGGAAATTGAGAGATGACTTTTTTACATCCATTTATGAATATTAAAATATAATTAAAGGAGTGGCATGGAGGTAAAAATAGGGATAATCAGATAATCGGATTAAACCAGAATTTTACGAAAATTTGAAGGATGTTATAAAATGGTTGAAAATATTATTTTCATATTTTATATCAGAGAAATTTGGCTCCTAAAAATGTAATTTTTCAGATTTGATCGAACAGTGGAATTTTAGTGACTAAAATGAAATTTTGATTGTCAAAAAGGGAAATTGAGAGATGACTTTTTTACATCCATTTATGAATATTAAAATATAATTAAAGGAGTGGCATGGAGGTAAAAATAGGGATTCATTAAGGGCAATTTAGACTTTTGGATTAAATTGAATTAAAAATTCTATTTAATTAGCTTTTAAAAGTCAAAGTTAGGAGATAATTGCTTAGAATTTTCAAGAAACCATCTTCTTTCTTCCAGCAAGTTGCTGAACCTCCATTGCCAAAGGTGAGTTTGTTTTGTTTTGTTTTGTTTAATTTTTGGTCAATTTTCATTAAGATTTAAAGTTAGGTTATTAAGGATAAAATAACCTACATGAAATTCTCTTTCATTTGGCATAAAAATCTTCATGTTTTTTATTTAAGTTGGTGAGATGTGGATGAAGGGGAAGTGTGATTCTTATGATTTAAGGTTGATTATTGATGTTAGAAGTGTTGTGAAGTTGAAATCAAGCATGAAAGTTGTTAAACATTAAGTGTAAGATTATATTTATGGTTTGACCATAGGGTTATGTTTAGGAAAATGTATGTTTGATTTATATTTGATATGGAAAGGAGTTGAATTGGTTGTAAATGTTGTGTGAATGGTGAAATTGAGCTTGAATCAAGTTTAGATAGAGATTATTTTGAAAAGAATAAAACTATTCGGCCAAAGGGGAAAATATTTGGAAAAATTCTCAAAAATTTCATAAAGGCTTAGAATGATGATAAAAGTGATTTGGAAGTTGATTTGAATCAATTTGGAAGCTTGAGCTAGTAAAAAGGGCTAATATACAAGTTTTGAAAATTGTGGGATATTATTGCAAGAATGTGAAGCTTGGGGTGTTCAATGTAATTTTCAACATTAAAATACTGTAATTCTAAGTTAGAAAGTTGGTTGGAACTAAATTTCAAGTTTGATAAAAGTTTGGGTTGGAATTCGAAAGGTTCTAAGAAAATGGGGACTGGTTTGCAAGTTAGTAAATGTAGAAGTACCATTTGGGTAAATTAGGACAATTCTAGAATCTTTCTGAAATTTTTGTTTAATTATTAAGTTTGAACCAAATTACAAGTTTATAGATTTTGAAAGTTGAATTGACAAAGTTTAAGAAAGTTTAGGATGGATTTGTAAGCTTTTGAATGTTTAAGTATTGATTTGAAATATTTTATTGAGGTGCTGGATATTTTATGTTATTAATGTGAAATAGTCATAATGGCGAAGGATCATTATGAAGTTAATAGAAAACTTAAAGTGAATTCTAGAAAGAATTCATAATTAGTGGTTTGATTGTGTAATTGGAAAAAGTTGAAGGGTTGACAGTTACGATGGAAGTACAATTTAGTTTTATATCGATTTAAGTATCAAATTTATTTCTATCAAATTTTATATTTATGTCTAGATTATTTTAGTTCGATGCTAACATATAGTTTGAATATTTTATGTTATTATATAATATCATCAAATCAAGGTAAATCTAGTGATTTAAGTAGCTTGTAGGGAAGGAAAAAATTATGGGATTGAGAAGACTATCGTGGAGAATGTTCAATAACGAGGAAAATGTGAGTGTATTTAATTAGTGTTTGTGTTATCGTACAAACATTGGCTGCGATGAGCCAGTGATAGAGTTACAATGGTAAGAGGTGACTTCTAATGTTATGATAGTTGTGATTCTAGCCTAAATGTTCATTTATTAAGCTTACAAAATTATGAAATTAAGCTAAGGAAGAAAATTAAGGAAAGTTGTCTAGAAATTAGAATTCGAACAGTGAATTTATAAATTCACCATAAATTATACATAATTTATTAGAGAATAATCTCTATATCGTTAGATTCCTATATCAGTCTAGTTTTATTTAAAACAGACGGTGACTGATTTCAATGTATACACAAAAAGAAATGAATTTTTAATTGGTGATAGGTCAGAAAACAGGGCAGCAGATTCTGGCGAAATAGCTTCTATCAATCAACTTTGAAAATTCGCTATAAATGTAAAAGTAGAAATAGACGGAGTTCCTTATATAGTTAGATTCGTATTCGAGTCTAGTTTTTAATAGTGCAAACAAAATAATTTTTCAGTATATTAATTAATAGAGAATAATATTTGTTTGAAGGTAGTGCAAACTGTCAGAATATAAAATTTTGATAAATTGTATATTGAAAGTAGTGGAAGGTAAAGAATTTAAATCTAAAGCTTAGTGAAGCTTATATTTTGATTTAATAATAATAATAATAATCAATTGTTAAAGTGAATGCAATTTGTTTGTTTGATTATTATAGTCGAGCACGACTTACGATAAGTCAACCTCATTTTATTTTACAGTATGATTTATAAATTTTTAGTATGGAATATTTCTATAAAATTTTTCATCAAGTTTTATGAATTATTTTGGGTATGAACTGCCTAAGTATGATATTTATGATGATGAATTCTAAATATATTTAGTTATCAAATGATTTTCAGTTATCAGATGATTTTCAGTTATCAAATAATTACAAATATCAGATATTTTACAGTTATCATATACAAATTAATAAATGATTCTATGATGATAAATATAAGTCCATTGTATGTTGCATGGAGAGTCGTAGGTACATTTAGTATGCCATTAAATGAGTACTTATCAGTTTAGCTTTGGTACATTCGTGTATCAATGTTCAGTTATCAGTTCAACTTTGGTACATTCGTGTATCAATGTTCAGTTATCAGTTCAGCTTTGGTACATTCGTGTATCAATTTTCAGTTATCAGTTCAACTTTGGTACATTCGTGTATCAATGTTCAACACCGTTTGTGCTCATTCAGGTTATGATTGCTTTGAAGTGCATCATATCTCAATTTCAGTTATGATTTGGGATGGTTAAACTCACGTACCTTAAATTCTCTTACATATATATTGAGCTATAACAGTAAATATGAAAGTTATGACAGTGTATGAAAGAAATGTACATAGAATTGAAAAGAAAATTTTGAAACATGTTTGAATGAAAAGAAAAAAAATTATTTATGATATTAGATGTTGACTTACATGATTTTTAATAAAATCATGAGACGATGATTTTTCATGTTTTCAGAAGGAATAACGACTTGACTAGCCAGGTTTGAAGTTTAATTTTTTTTAAATTACACTTTATTTCTTATATTTTATGGTTTTACGTTTTAGTTATATTTCTGCCTCACTAAGTTTTACTTAACGCATGATGATTTTTATGTTTAAGTTCGAAAAAAGTAGAGGTCGTGAAGTGAGGAGCTTGCCTTACCGACAGTATCAGTAAGATATCCTAACTTTAACTTATTAGTGACATGTACATTATATATGGTTGGTTGCTTTATCATATTTATTTTAAAATGATTTGTAATAATAATTAGAATTATTTTATTTAATTTTGTCTAATTTTAATATTAATCGTATTTATGAGTGAATAGTGTAAATGTTATTTTTTAAAGGTTTAAAATCAAGCGGAATTAGGCAGTTGTACTTGGGTATGAACAACACTAAACTGCCTAATTATTGACTGAAATCAAATTAGTTTTCAATGATCAAACGATATTTTATAAATTTATATGATCAAGGAAAAAGTTTTTAAAGTAAAGGGAAATATTTAAATGACACAAAATTTTTTAAGCATTTAAGTTCATCAAAAGTCAGTTGAGTTGATGTGATATCTGTAGCTCGTATTATGAGATATATATTGGCTATGGGTGTTATAGAAACAACTCTCCATTTTATATTAGAAATTGTTACAAAAGAACAAACTCAAAAACCTCAAAGAACAAGTGTCATTAGGAAGATCCAAGAGATGAGAGAAATATCATTATGTTTCTACAAGAAATAAGGATGAGAATATGATGATGAAAGATGATCTAACCATCTTTCGTCATGTCATAAAAGTTATGACTCTCAGAAGTGGATTAATGCCATGTAATAAGAGTATAAGTTCTATACAAGATATTAAAGTTTGATGACTTATCTCATTGTCTGAAGGTGCAAAGATAATTGTTAATGAATGGATATTGATAACCAAAGATGGATGCAAATGGTGATGTTGACAAGTATAAGACATGTCTTGTATACAAAGGATATGCTCAGAAAGGGGCATTAATTTTGTAGACTTTCTCTTTGGTTCATTAAAAGACCTTTTCAGGATAATTATGATACTTGTTTCTTATATTTGATTTTGAGTTACATAAGTTGAATTTCAAAATTATATTTCTCCATGGTAACGATGAAATATTTTATACAATGTAATTATAAAATTGTATCTAATGATACAAAACTAATGAGTTTAAGTATAACTCCCGTTAATTACATTGTATAACTCCCGTTAATTGTATAAAAAAATTTCATCAAGTGATTATAATTAGTTTAAATATCCATTTATGAGTTTAAGTATAACTCCCGTTAATTGTATAAAAAAATTTCATCAAGTGATTATTTAGTTTGGTTTTGAGATGAATTTGATTCACAATTGTATATACTATAAGTTTAGTTGGAGTAAGCCAAATACTACTCTTATTGCTAAAGGAACCAAGTTTAGTCTTGATCAAAGCTCTAAGGATGATTTTGAAACTAAGGAGATCTAAAAGGTTCCTTATGATTCAAAATAAATAAAGAATTAAATGTATACTCTGGTTTATACACATTTAGACATAGCGTATGATTTTAGGATATTAAGCATATATTTAAGCAATTTGGGTATGGATCATTGGATAGCAGCCAAATTGATTCATAAAATACATTTAAGAACAAAAATGTTACATGCTCAAATATCGAAAGTCTAGTAAGTAAGAGATCATCAAGTTTATGGACTCTGACTTATTGGAATATGAATGCAAAATTTTGTCACATGAACTGCTAATTATGGATTAATAAGAAAGACCACTTGAGTTATTTTGTGACAACTAATTTGTAACTCTTTATTCCATATATAACAAAAACACCTTAAGTCTATGCACATAAACATTATGTTTTTGTTTGTTAAAGAAAATTCAGAGTGATTATGTGTTTATAGAGCATGTTGGTACAAACTCATAATTGTGTGCTTACTATAAAACTGTCACCCAAGGTCTTTCATGAGCATACTACTCATGTGGGTGTAATATTATTTAAGGATATTCAGTTTTAGTGGGAGTTTGTAATATTAATGCTTGTTTGTTATAGACACAATTTTAGTTACTTCAGTTTAATGATATTTATGTCAAAGTTAATTTCTACATAAATAAAGTTTATTTTGGTTTGTCCACTCTGGTTTTGGAAAAAATTTGATCTCACTAATGTTCAAAGAGGACCAATTGGAAATAGACGTACGATTCACATTGCATGTAATTTCCATGCTAAGCTCCATGATTGATCAAAGTCATTTGACTGTTTGTATACGTGACCATTGATGGGTCTAGTCATAATAAATATGGGAAAGACCGCTTTGATCCTATATGGATATAGTTGATGTACGAGATTGTTAAAGAGTACTTAATATGTGATAGCAAATTTTGAGCTCTTGTACATTTGTCAGGAAACATATGTTGCCCTAGTGGGAGATTGTTGGATTAAAATCCATATTTGTGGGCACATATGTATAATGTACAATGTTATCATAAAGTATGACACAAAATTAAGTGATCAATTATGTTATATGTGTTATATGTATTAAAGTGTAATGAATTCAAAATTTAGATATCATAAGTTGTATTTATAATTTGATGAGAGACATAATTATAAATACTTAAAAAATAAAGAGGTAGTGGTCCCTAAGAAATAGGTTAACTTGTATCATTCTTATCCCGTAAGAGAGTTTTTACGACAAGAGAAAATCTATCTTTTTGGAAGCTCATAACCAAAGAGACTCAAAGATTTCAACCTATCAATTAATTCAGACATGTTTTCGCAAATATAGTATTTTATTCTTGATGATTTGACATAATTAGATCCTGATTAATTATTATATTTTTATGTTTCTAAATTCTAACAAAAATGTCTGCAATTCTTGTACAAACCGATGAGAGCGGAAATCTGTGTGGATCGAAAAAGATATCGAGTTCATGTTCAGAACAAGTGAAATCTCAACCTCAATTCCCTGATTAGCCAGGCAATACTGTGGGCATCATTGGAGGGGTTTCTGTTTTGTCCACTCTTGTTCTTTCGATGGAAGGGATCTAAACAAAGCGATTATCCAGAATCTTTGGCACAAAAGACTGTTCCTAGAAGAGTCCGCTGCTCGATGCATAGTTATGCCATGCCACATCTCAAATGCATGGCATGAAAATATATCGACGGGGTGCGGATCGGGGTGCTTGCCACCAGAGACAATTGCTGGTTCTTACCAGGAAAAACTTGGGAATCAGGTATCTCACATTCTATACATGTCTGTGTTATGTCTAAGGAAGCAGAGGAGCTATACTGTTTATACATCACCAGGAAAAACTTTCCCTACATTCACCCTGAATTACAATTGTTTTGTGCCGAACACTTATGTTTGCAGGGGTTTGAGGTTGTCTTTCGAGACAAGGAAACCATGGAACACATTGTAGTTCTGGCAACCGACTCATTGAACAAATGAGATATCGATGGGGCTCGGAACCTCTTGAGAATCACAATCCAGGTCCTTTTGATAAGTGCTGTGAATGTTGTTGTCCTTGCCTCCGATGAACTTAACAATATTTTACCTCGAGAAGATACGCTTCTCAAGAAATGCATAAATGCATTGATCCGATGGACGCCTTAGCCGGATCAACTATAAAATGGGCTAAATCTGAAAAATAAGGTGCATGAGAAAACTACTTGATCTCTTGTAAGGATACTTGGCTATCAAGTAATGCAGACCAACTTGTTCGTTCACATTATCAGACAATAAAAGGTAATAACATATCAATATGATCAAACGATCATTACCAGATGTTAACTGCCCTGGTTCTAATTGCGGAGCCTAGACTTCTGCAAGATCAAATGATATGTGTTTGAAACAAATAATCGTATGATTGAAAAATTGGAATGACCTAAGTTTCGACCAAAATTCAGTATATTTTTTCATTGATAATCTAAATTTCTAGATATTAGAAAACAAACAATTAAACTCTTGCTGTGATTATACTCATGATCTGAGACAATTATTTGGTTTTGTTTCAGCCCCTCCAAGGAAGGATAACAACACCATAGTTGACAAAAAAACATATAAAATTTGAGAAAGACATGATTTTCTCTTCCAAAGAGAGTTCTCAACTTGAATTTTAACTCAGACCTCCACCTGACTGGGCAAATTGTGCACCAATGGCATATCTTCAAGCCAATCCCCATATATCCTAATGATTTCCCCGTCTTTTCCACTTTAACAAGCATTTTTTAGCCTGGCCATTTTCATCAAAAGAAGAGGAACTCAACGTCACTGGAGGTGGATCGTTAGCAGGGAGGGAGTGAATTTTTGATGAAACAGAACTGTTTCTTGTCAAACCAGAACCCGAATTCCCAAAGTCACCATCAACACGTCCGTTCATGCCCTGCAACTCTGATAACAAAAATGGGCATTGTGCAAAGCCATAAGAAACAAAGAAATATAAAGCATCAAAAGTCATACGAAACCAAGTCTTGTTCATGCTCACACCTATGACATTCTGCCAACAGTATTAACATTTCGAATATAGAAATCTCTTCTAAAATCAAATTAGAGAAAGATCATTAACAAAATTCAAGAAGGAAAACTAGTAAGTGAATTCTCTTAATTTAAAGCATAAATAAGAAATTACTTAATTTGGTCAGTAACTTAGTATTTAACACAAACAATATGTGCTTATACGCTTTCTGTAACAAAATACCAGCTAATGTTAACATTATCCCGTCTTAATTCAAATCAAGAAAGTTGCATGGCACAAATAATATGATCAATCAAAGCTTGAACAAAAATATTAACATGATATATACCTGCTTGCCCATGAGCAAAGTGGCATTTCTCACCAAAGGGGCAGTGACCTGTAATCTCCCACTTTGTACATAACTTCGTTTTCCAATACACAGGATAAACAGGTTTTGTATTTCCTTGAAAAGCATCCGAACTGCTGCTTTTTACCGGCCAATTACCTCCAAATTGGTCGGACACAGTTCCATGTCCTGCAGGTGGACATGTTGTTCCAATGCTAATAGCTGAACTCTCCCTAAACCTCCCCATATCATCGCTGAACTTCAATAGATCTTCATGAAGAAAATTACATCTGTCCCCATATGGACATTCCTCTCCATTATAAAACTTCTTACAAAGCTTCATCCTATGAATAATCTTCTGATCATCATCCCAATTTCCCGATGGGCGTTCTTCATCACGGCCAGGGTTTTAAATAGCGTTCGTGATCACGTTTTCGGTCCTGTCGCGTTTATCACGTAAATTGCGGCCGCAATCCGCCGCTATTGGTGTGATCCCGCTTCACACCGTTATTTTCCGCGATAGTGGTTTTGGATACCGCTGCGACCGCGATATAACGGCCGCGACACCACTATTCGACCGCTATTTAAAACCCTGATCACGACTACCAACCGGTTCTTGCCAATTCTGAGGGGGTTGACGCAGATCCTCAATGCCATGAGCAAAGTTACAATCCTCACCATTCCTACAAGCACCCAATCTAAATTTTGCACACATTTGAGTTTTGAAGAAAATATTTATGGTTCCCTTGTTGATCGGAGAATTTAGGGGCATCCTCAGATTAGTATGATTGGTAGGAGTACATCGCACAATATTAGACTGGTTATCCTCAGAATGCCTAGGTCTTTTGAATGGAGGCGATTGTTGTTGTTGTTCGAAATCGGAATGTGGCTCGAATTGTCAATCATTCATGGGAAATTCAGGCAAATCCCAATGGCATCACTGTCGGCATACTGACTGTCATAACCATTTTTAGGTGGAACAATTGTTTGTTGTTTTAAAAACGGTTATGATTTTAATTTGGAAAATTTAGTGATTTGAAATTAAATTGGATAGAGTCGCCATCGACCATTGGGTTAGGTAGGTCGAATGTCTAATTTTTTTTTTAAAAAAACTATTTTAATAAAAATCGTTTTTTAAAACAATAGTTGATCTGCATTTACCAAAAATTCGATTAAAATAGGTTCGAGAGTCGGTTACGGATGGAGAAGGATTAGTACCCCCACAGCGCCCAAACTTGGTACTGTGTCGCTTACACGTTATTGAAAATGGTGGGAATATTGAGTCAAATATAAAGTTAAAATATGATCAATTTATTGAATGTTAATTAATTTGCTTCAAAATAATTAATTAATTAAATAAAATTCTTTAATTTGAAAAGAAATATCGACATTAGCAATCTCTTATTGGGAAAGCTATTTCATCTATTTCTTATTCAAATTTAAAAATTTCATCCTCATTGATTTTTAATTCAAATCAAATATAAATTGACTATCATTCTTTGAGTAAAATAATATGAACAATTATTTAAAGAAAAATATATTGAATAATAAAATATTTATAATATTTTAAACCTTGAAATAAAATAAAATAATAAGAAAAATAAATTAAATAATAAAAAGACTGAAAAATTAAATGTATAATCATTCTAATAATTTATATGTTTCATAATATGAAAATAAAACAATTTAACTCTAAAATATAATTAGGATTAAAATATAAATTATCCAAAATTAGAGAATAAACTTAAAAATATACCAATTATGTAAAAAATACATATAATATAATATGATCGAATTAAAACAAATAATATTTTAATGATGACTCAACATGCAAATAAACCTAAAATGAATTATGACAATAGCATAACTAAAATATGAAATTTATAAATTTTGTAGCCAAATTGAAATTATCCAAAATATTATAACACTAAAAATTTTAATACGAACATTGATTTATGGACCAAGTTAAAATTCACATAAAATATGAAGGTCAAATTAAAACATAAAAACTCGAATTTAGGACTAAATCGAATTATAAACAAATCATGAAAGACCCGAAGACTTAGATAACCCAAAAACTATAACTGATACCCAAATATTAAAAATGACAAAATCAGGACAATACAAAAACCTAAATTCTAAAACAAACCTTATTAATGACTAAAGTAAAAAACGTGGTGAAATTACAGTGACCTTAAAAGAATAAACCCTAACAAGCCCTAAAGCTTTAATATAAAACCTAAAATAAAAAGAAAATAAACCTAACCTAATTTGTAATTTAAACACTCAGCCGCAAACACCATCTCCACTTCTCTCTTTCTCGTCTTCTCACTCTTCTCTACTCTCTAATAACACGAATGGCTGCCATGGTCTGAACCAAAGTCTCCATGGTTGCCACTCACGACGCAACTTACTCCAAAAGGCCTCCATGGTCGAAGCTCAGTCGTTACTCAAAGATGGCCACTCCTATCCTTCCTCATCATCTCGCACGATCATCACTCACCGGAGTATTCTAGGGCGGTCTTCGGATGACTTAAGTAAACTTGAATCGATCCCCCTTTACTCTGTATACTCCTATTTTCTCTAAGTTGTTTCAGTTTACTTTTCTTATTTTTTATTTGGATTTTTATATGTTTCCTTTGAATGTTTTTGTTTTGTTTATCCTCGAAGCTTTCGAATGGTTGTTGCTTAAGGGAACCCAATCCTCACTAACACTCGGTCAACCATCACATAACAGCTACAATGCGAATTAAAAAAAAACTGAGCAAGGTGATTGAACTAACTCATAATCTCTATATTATTACTTGCTTAGAAATAAAAACATTTAAAGGATACTGGAAATTGAAAGAAAGGTGAAAAGTACCAAAAAAACCGTTCTTTGCTTTCTATTACTTACTCTGTAATACAACGGTGAATCAAACTCCTGTTACAATGATTTTTCGAAGAGTTGAGTCCACCGTCACAAAATGATCCCCCGTGTTTTTATTCTGTTCCCCCCTCGTTTGTATTTTCTGCTTTCTCCTCCCCCTCTCCATGATATGTTCGAACACCCTTGATTTATCATTGATCTCTTCACCAAATCCCCATGGCTGCATCTGAATTTTTCTTTGTGTTTGGTATGAAAATGAAAGGTTTAGGTGGGATTTAGGTGATATGTTTTTGACTTTGTTGATATCTTTTATTTGTTTTGCTGTTTGGTGGCCAACATGGTGATGATGACGTTTCGGTGGCTCGGCGTTCGGCTGGAGCATTCGGCGATGGCGATGGCTCGGTGACTCGGCTCACAACTGGTCGGGTTATTGGATCAGGTTCACGAATCTGGGTTGTACCCGGGTTTGATGATAGATTCTGTTGTTGGGTCGGATATGCTTGTATTGGGCCTTGGTAGGCTGTTGGGCTTCTGGATTGTATTTGTTTTGGGCCTGTAAAACAGTGTAATAATACTAATTAATATTAATAATAAATAATAATACTAATAATAATAATAATAAATTAACCCGGACAAAAAACGGGTGTCTACAACTGCCCCTTTTTGCACATTCTTGTGTTAACAAGAATAGGGCAAAGACGAAAAAGACAACTGGTTTTTGTCCGGTTCTCTTTTTTTGTTTTGGAAACTTGATAGTGTTTGATTTGGAAAATGACACTGCTCATACGTGATGAAGAGTTCGGGTCGTCTAAGGGTTGACACGATTCCTACATAATGAAAAAACCTAGTCGAGGGATGACAATGCTCATACGCGATGAAGAGTTCTTGGCCATCTTTAGGAAGGGGGATAACTCGGTTCCTACATGATAAGGATTGTTGGTTATCAAAGGTTGACACGGCTCCTACATGATGAGGAGATTAGGTCGGGTGATGTCATGACTCATACGTGATGAAGAGTTCTGGCCATCTAAAGGTGATAACACGGCTCATACGTGATGAAGAGTTATGGTTATCAATGATTGACACAGTTCCTACGTGATGAGGAAATCAGGTCAGATGATGACACGGTTCCTACGTGATGACGACGGCAGGCCATCTAAAGGTGATAACACGGTTCCTACGTGATGAGGACGGTTGGTTATCTGGGTTTGACATGGCTCCTACATGATGAGAAGATCAGGTCGAGTGATGACACGATTCCTACGTGATGAGGACGTCAGGTCATCTATAGGTGATAATTCGGTTCCTACGTGATGAGGAATGCTGGTTATCTGGAATGACAAATTGTTGTGACATTAAGTCAATTCATTGGGCACAATATTCTTCTTCGTGAAGTTGAAATCGTGGGTGGCTCCTTCATCGTGAAGTTGAGCTTTGAGTTGGATATCCTTCGTTGTGAAGTCAAAATCCAATCTTGTGTTGTATCGAGCATGATATCCTTTGTTGTGAAGTTGAAATATAGTTTGACATAGTCAACTTTGGTCTTCTTCTTGGCTTAAAGACATTGGTTTAAAGTTCAACTGGAAAGTAGTTCCTCGAGCTGAATAGACTTAAGCTATATTGCACTAAGATGAGAGATTGCCTCATATCTTCTTCTTGACTTGAAGACCTCGGCTTCAACCAGAATGTAGTTCCTCATTGCTACCCTGCAGTTGATATGTCATCGAGTTGAATGGAATCAAACTCGAAGGTGTTTATTGACAGATAACCCTCATCGCCTTGAGTTATGCTGTAAATTTGACATGTCCTGGAGTTGAATGTAATCGAACTCGAAGGTTTGTGTTGACAGATAACCCTTCTCTCCATGAGTTATGCTGCCAATAGTTCCTTTAAGTGAAAAAATGACTCCCTTTCACGGGTCCAAGCCGGTCATAATTCTTCAGGTGGTTCCCCTTAACAGGTCGGAACCAAGTGAGATGATCTTTGTATGACTCACATTCACAGGAAAGTCATGTGATATGTTCTTCAAGTGACATTGAAATTCGTTTGAAGTTGATTCTAAGATCTTTCAATCTTTCAATTGGTCAAATTGGTTGAATTGTAACTCTTTGCTGTTGAGTTAAGCAACCACCATCAATATCTTTTGAAGTTACTTTTGAAACGAGTATCTTTCGTCTTAAAGTTGAAACTTGACTCTTAGCATGAATCTGCAAAATTATACACATATGCGATGCTATGAATACAATGGATATGTATCTAAATGTAATATATGATTTTCTTATATTCAAATGTTGTTCTTATGAATGCAAAAATGTTGATGCAATCTTCATTTGACTTTAAAGTGAAGAACTCGATCTTCCTTCACTTAGTCAAAATGTCATTTCAAGCTGGCATTTCTGATGAACAATCTGACCCACTTGCATCTTTGTGTTTTCTTTGTTTCATTAAAGCCTCAAAAGAAATATTTCATTTGTAGAACTCTTGTCGTAGTCAGAATTATGATCTTGATGCCTCATTTTGTCCTGGATAACACCAGCTTTCTTTGTTTGGACTTGTGTAGAAATCCAATAAAGCTTTCATCTTTGAAAAGAGAATCTATCATCTTTGAAAAATGTAGATGTAGATACGCTAAGCTCAGCATAGATTAATTAGGAGAACAATCGTCTGTTCTGATTTGACTTTTGAAACACATTTCAAAGAGTTATCCTAATTCTTTTTATGTCTCCACATCTAATTGGATCTCGAGCAAAGCCATTAAGACCATATCATGTCGAGATGCTTAACAACAACTTGTTGTTTAACCTTACTTGGCTTCACTAGTTTCTTGTTGTTGAAATTTCATCTCCCCTTATGTGGAAAGAAATCTTCATCACATCTCACTTCTAACATTAGGGTTGAAGAAGTCAATCTTCATCTCGGATCAACAAATGAAAATACCATATGATCGCAACATTGATTCGGCACCATAATCACTGGTTCGTAAAACATTTGACAACACATTCATCATTTTCTGTGGCTTTTGCCCATATTTCTCAATTAGTGATGCTCTTTGCATAGTGTTCAGAGCTTTTGTAGGACGTCACTTAAGAACAAAGCTCAGTGAGACTGTAAGTGGGATGCTTTAACTTTTTGTCTCATTGGAAATATTTTCTCAAATCAAAGATCTTTCCATAAGATGATATATGCCTTCAACATTCCCCAACATTTGTTGATACGAACGTTTAAAATGTGTTCAACATTTCTTAGCTAATTGAAATAGGATTTCAGCATGCCCCTATATTTGCTTCTTGTTGATGTGAGCTTTCAAAATGCCCCACATGGATCATTTCTAGTTGAAATGGGTTTTCAAAATGCCCCAACATTCTATTTCTGATTGAAATAGACTTTCAAAATATTCCAACCTTTTCATGCTGATGTGAGCCTTCAAGATGCCCCACATGGATTACTTCTGTCTTTTCATGCTGATGTGAGCTTTTAAGATGCCCTACATGGATTACTTCTATCTTTTTATGCTGATGTGAGCCTTCAAGATGCTCCACATGGATTACTTCTATATTTTCATGCTGATGTGAGCCTTCAAGATGCCCCATATGGATTACTTCTATCTTTTCATGCTGATGTGAGCCTTCAAGATACCCTACATGGATAATATGAACCTTCAAAAATACCTCTAACCTTCAAGTCAAAATGTTCTCTCTCAATGTCCATTGAATTTGAATCTCATGATTCCCATGAGGTATAACTTTGATAATACCTTATTTATGGATCATCGTGGCTCTATTTGTGCCCAAATCTGTTTATCTTGAATGCTCTCATTCTGGTGTTACTAAACAACAGTGTTGTCGAGTAACCTGAGGGAATGTCTTCATGTTATCACAAACTTAAGAAGTGATCAATCCTTCTGACAGAATGTCTGAGATATGTGCCTCTTCTGAATAAGGTAGTCAGTCATCTTATGCTTGATTGGTTGCATTCTTGCCTTTTTGCTATGCACTGAGATATGTGCCCCTTTTGAATAAGGTAATCCTTCTTTTTATGAGGTTACTGATAATGTTAAAAGTGAGTGTTACAATTTCAATTCTCCAGTCTTTCAGGTCTTTCGGACCATTTGCTGTGAAATGCTTTATTATTGTGTCATTGCTTATTATTTTTCTCCAATAGAGGTAGAATAGGTATCAGCTTGCTTCAAGGACCTTCCTCATTTGAGATTGTCCTGTTTGAAAATGTTTTTCCTCATTTCTTTATTGAAGAATGAAAGAATTTTGTAAAATATTGTCTATTATAGGTTCACAAATGAATCAAATCATAAAACATGAGTTTAATGAATATCAAATAAATCAACTACTCTTTTAAATCATTCAAAAATCATTGTCCTATGACAAGTGTCAAAATTATTGACTGGTTTAAGGTATAGGTTGATTTTGGTAAATTAAGGTCTCTCAGGTTGGTCCAACATATATGTCTCTTTGAACTTCCACTAACTTGAAGAAATGGTTGCTATATACATCTCATAGAGATACTTCTTGGTTCCAGACTCTCAGGAACATCTTTGGAATGTGTGGTGCTTCATCAAGAGCTTAAGATCATCTCTTATGTCGTTGTTGCACCATTCAATATTCGAGTCGCCTTTTCAAGTACGTAACATAGGCCAGGGCTCATGATTACGAAACAAAGGGATAAAAAGGCCCAAACAAGTGTTTAAGGATAATTGAACCAATGATCAATTCATTATGATGCATTCAATCTTGCATTGCTTGACTTGAATCTGCTTTGCTACTTTTCTCTCATCATTTTTTTCTAGATCCCTCTAGACTGCCAATTTTTGGGTTCATTTCCATTTTCTTATATCTCCAGTATTTCTTGCGCTTCTTGTTAAATATAAATCTTTGAACTAATTGCACTTGATCAACCTTGTAGCTTGAGGCTCAATGATTTACCCATCTTGATTCAATTTCTTTTTTATTCTTTTTTTCTTTTTTTTTTCTTTTTTTTTTTTTTTTTTTTCTCTTTCTTTTCTTTTCTTTTTTCTTTTTTTTCCTGATAGATGAGTATAAGATTTCAATTACTTTGAGTACCTCCTTTTCCTCTTGCATTTGTTATTATTGACTGGATTTGATCTTCAAGTACCTCATATTTGACCTATCTTGTGGTTCAAAACTCTCTTTACTTCATGAAGATTTGTCTTCATAATAAAACTGGATTGACGATATTTATTGAGCATATATCCTTCACCTTGCCTTCCAATATGGAGGGTGATCATTGGTTAGGATTGAATCAGAAGAAAAATCATTCAGGCTCAAATGGGGACAATAAATGATATATTTTTCTTTTGCGAAGGAATAAATGAAAGAAGTCTGTTCATCATTTCATACACATAAACCTTTGTAAAAAGAGGTATCCACATAGATAAATATCTAATTAAGCACCTTCATCAAAGCATTTCAGTGTACTTCCAAATTTATCAACAAATTCAAACAAGATGCTAAAAATAAGAAGTACTACAGTGGTAGATTTTCCCTTTTCTTTCGATGTTTCGGGAGAGTAACACCTCCCACTTCTTATGAAAAAACTCCTACTTCACTCACTGTTTCGGTTGTCAAATCAATTCCATGTGCTTTCTCTTTTTCTTCTATTTTCCAAAGAAACATGTCATCGTACCATTGAAATATTGACAGTGTAATTCCAATGTACCTTGCAGGTTTCCTTAAATGAAAATGGTAAAAGGGTTGTGATAACCACTTTTGGTTTTTTTTTCACAGTATTCATTGTAGATGGTTTTACAGTGATAATCACAGGCTCACTTGTTCTATGCATGGGCTTGGAATCTTCTGATGTGCAGATATCCTCTTCTTTTTTTCTTCATCTTTCTCGAAGAATTCTATCTCTTTATTGTCCCTCAACTTTTATATCAATCCCTTAAATTCAGGACACAGCTGAATTTCATGTTCTTTTTTCTGGTGATATTCACAATAATCTCCATAATCATTAGGTTTTGGCTTAAACTCTTGATGAATAATACCAACTTGGGAGAGTTGCTGGAATACCCAACTGATAGGAGACTTAATTTCAGAAACATTGACCTTTTCTTTCCTCATATCCTCCTCATATTTCTTCTTACTTCGAGTCTGCTCCAATTACTTGAAATTCTCTTCGACAAATTGAACTATGATGCCCCATCTCGTCTCTTCATGCAGGAAGATTCACGGATAATTGAAAGTTTGGTACTTTTGAGGCCTTTTGGTTTTACCAGTATGATGGTTTAATTTTATCACTTGCCAAAGATCTATAATTCTTGAAAAATTAAAAGAATATTTAATTTACTTGATACTCAAAAAATTTCAAGTTTAAAATTTGTTTTCTTGCTCATAACCATAAAAACAACACAAATTTATTTATAAAAAAACAAAGAAATGAACAAAAAACAAGTTCAAATAGGATGCTGAAAATAGAAAGGTATTATAGTGGTATATAACAATTTCCACTTATTTATCTATCATGCCCCATCACTCCTATAATGTTGGGTGTATAATCGGCCTAGGTCCTTATCCTCATTTGCCCCCATTTCTTGATCATATTTTGTGTCAACTTTTTTAGATAAAACCTTCAAATGCACAAATCTTTGCTTCCTCATAGTAATCTCCATCATCATTTTTTCTTCTCTGACTAGAAATTGGGCTCAATTTCAGATCCATAACAACTTTCCTTGGTGATGACAGTTTTTTCTTGGTTCTGAATGCTCATTGCAGCTACGATTGGGGTAGTATTCACCAGCCTCCTTAAATTGCCCCACGTCTTACTTGTTTTCAGAAAATCTGATATAGGTGTCTGAGGCGTCTTCTGGGTTACATCTGCCCCATTCCTTCTTAGACCTATGGGCCAATCTCGAATTACCTTTCCTTTCATTTCTTCATTTAGCATCAGAGAAGTATCGAGAGTTAAATCTGCCATACATACTTCACCTTCCTTAGTTTTGCCCTTTTCCCTTTTAATGTCCTCTGCTGTTTGAACTTTACTTGTTTTGACACTATCAACTTTATTTTGGGGATTGAATCTCGATTGTTTGATCAACATGTTAAAATCCACTTCTATGATTTTATGAACCAAAAGGTCTTGAGCTCTTCGTTTAAAGTTACCATAATTCTCGATGGAGTGTCCTTGGGCTCCGACATGATATTCACAAGAAACTTTTTCATTATACCAAATTGGATAAGATGGTAACAGCGACTTAGCCAAACGTGGAGTAATCAGTTGGGTCTCGCGCAACTTAGAATATATTTTGTTGCATGAAGATGAAGGAAAACTGAGTGGAGACTTCAATTTTTCTTTGCCACTATTATGATCACTCTGAAGTCTTAGTGAAAGATCATTGAGATATTCATTTTGAAGGTACAACTTTTGATAAACGTCTTGTAGGAAACATTGATTTGTTGATTTCCCCTCGTTGATAAGTTTTAAGTCTCTGGAAGTTTAGGTTTTCCACCTTCAAAGCATAACAATCCTTCCGCGATGAGGTTTTAAACCTTTAATCTCATAGCCACACAACTTTCTGTAGAGTGACTAAAATCTCCAAGATGATAACTGCATGAATTTTTAACACCTTGCCAATCTGGATGCCAGTAAGTATTAGACTTTGAAGGAATAGGTGTTAGAATGCCACTTTCAAAGAGAAATGGTAACAATTCTGAATATGACATTGGAATCTGAAGGAGATGTATCTTCTTTTTTTCTTCTTGTTCTTTTTAGCCTTCTTGAATGGCATTTGAACTTCTTCTACGCCTCTCTTCTTTGAGTCAGACTCAACTTTCCCAAGGGAAACTTTATCTCTTGTTAGCTCTTAATTCATTGTGGGCCCAATGGAACCTTCTACAATCATAGTTTCAACACTAGCATTCACAGTCTCATCCAAAACGGGATCCTCTAGTGGCTCTTCTCCATGGATCATAATATTCACCATGTCAATCAATTTAGTTATCTGCTCCATTGACTCGTCTTGAAACTTCTTTGCTTGATCATTCATTTCTTGTTGAATCTTGATAAGTTGCTCTTGAAGTTTCTTAATTCTACCAACTCTTGCTAAAATCTCATTCATGGTTCTTATCCTTCTCTAGGAAGACCAAGTTAACTCCAATTTGAATTCAAAAAAATTCTGTCATGAAATCCTCTACGAATTATTCTCATATTTTCATAATTTAATGCATATAAAATAGTTTGAAATAAAATGCAAATGCATGATGTAAGATTAAAACTATAATTATGCAAAGATGTGAATTCAAATGCAAATACAAAGATGCAAATGCAGATGCAAAAATGTTGATTCCAACGATGGATATTGTAGAATAATTTTCACCAGAAATAAAAACTTTCACATTCTAACACAATGCACTTTACATGCATGCATTCGCTTAGATGTTGAGCCTAAAATAGATCGATTCTCCTTGAAAATGATGCCCCTCAAGCGCTTTGTAGCCTAACTCCATTAATGCCTTGGCGGTGTTGAAGTTAGTACGTCGCTCCTTGATGACTAGTGATGACATGATTGTAGATAAGACTTCACTGTTGGATTACTTCTTGGATCAAAGGATCAGCTTTCCAATCTCAAATGTTGCACGATCTTCGAACAAGTCTCATTCTGGTATTCTTGACTTCTCTTAGCCCTCGGCACATGTTTGTGTACGCGACTGCTTGATTGAAATTTTTATCTCTTCTTGTGCAAAATTTCCACTTGACTATCCCCTTGCAAATCAACATTTTTGCATTATGTTATGTTGATGCAATACAATACAAAGAAAGATAAAAAAATGACACAAACAAAAGAAATAAGTTAGTGTACCCAAACAAAAGAAAAGAAATTAGTTAGTACATGTAAGATAATCAATACAAACAAAAATGTTATTCAAAGATGAATATAACACCTACCCTGTCATGATATCTACCCGAACATGCTTTAATTAAATAACACTCCTACCCGGACATGCTATCTACCCAAAATGATTTTTCAAAAAATTAATCCTAACCTCATGGTATCTAGTTCACATGCTGTTATTAAACATTATTTAAAAAGAAAAGGTTCAGAAATACTCCTCCTTTGTGTACACTTAGTTTGAGTACCTACTGACGGACAAAGGTTCGATATGACTAGACCTATGGTGACCGTTCTACAGTTCACTATATGCATGGTTTCAGCTCTATTGAGAAAAAGGTACTCGAATTGTCCTTGATGTCGGTGCCCCCTTGTGCTGCCAAACCCTCGATCCTCACCCATTATAGGTTTCAAGCGGAACGAGTTCAATTCGAGGGGATTCACTACCTTATACCCATACGAGGAATAAATCCCTTCGAAGGTATAAAGTATGTATCCCGTGGGTTATTTGCTAAAACTCATACGAAGAATAAATTCGTACGAGAGTAAAACATTCACCCCGACTAATTTGGATCAAAGCTCGGGTCTAGAGCTCATGTCATGCAAATGCACGTGATGTGCGTGAGGAGAAACATTCAACCCTTTGACTCCAAAGGAAAACGAAACAACTCGACAAAAACTTGGACATATCTGAAAGCAAAGATAAAACTGTTAGTATGATAATAATAAAATGAGGCAATTAAAAACTTCAATAAAAGGATCATAAGTTAACTAAAGACTCGAACACACAATTTCTACCAAACGACAATGTGTAAACAACTAACAGCCTGACTCTCTAAAAAAGATCCCCAGCAGAGTAGCCAAGCTGTCATAACCGTTTTTTTGAGGTGGAACAAATGTTTATTGTTTTAAAAACGGTTATGATTTTAATTTGGAAAATTTAGTGATTTGAAATTAAATTGGATAGAGTCACCATCGACCATTGGGCTAGGTAGGTCGAATAGCTAAAAATTTCTTTTAAAAACAATTTTAAGAAAAATCATTTTTTTAAAATAATAGTTGATATGCGTTTACCAAAAATTCGATTAAAATAGGTTCGGGAGTCGGTTACGCATGGGGAAGGATTAACACCCCCACAACGCCCAAACTTGGTACTGTGTCGCTTACACGTTGTTGTAAATGGTGGGAATATTGAATCGAATATAAAATTAAAATAGGATCCATTTATTGAATGTTAATTAATTTGCTTCAAAATAATTAATTAATTAAATAAAATTCTTTAATTTGAAAAGAAATATCGACATTAGCAATCCCTTGTCGGGAAAGCTATTTCATCTATTTCTTATTCAAATTTGAAAATTTCATCCTCATTGATTTTTAATTTCAAATCAAATATAAATTGACTGTCATTCTTTGAGTAAAATAATATAAACAATTATTTAAAGAAAAATATATTGAATAATAAAATATTTATAATATTTAAACCTTGAAATAAAATACAATAATAAGCAAAATAAATTAAATAATAAAAAGACTGAAAAATTAAGTGTATAATCATTATAATAATTTATATGTTTCATAATATGAAAATAATACAATTTAACTCTAAAATATAATTAGGATTAAAATATAAATTATCCAAAATTATAGAATAAACTTAAAAATATACCAATTATGTTGAAAAAAATACATATAATATAATATGACCGAATTAAAAAAAATAATATTTTAATGATGACTCAACATGCAAATAAACCTAAAATGAATTATGACAATAGCATAACTAAAATATGATATTTATAAATTTTGTAGCCAAACTGAACATTATATAAAATATTATAACACTAAAAATTAGTGACTAACATACAATAATTACAAACATTATAACCAAAGTCAAATAATAACATAATATTTAATAATATGACTTAAATACAAATATTAAAAATTAAATACATTACCACTCAGGACTGGAATTAAATTCGGGTAAAATATGGAGACAAAATTGGAACCATACGAACATTGATTTATGGACCAAGTTAAAATGCACATAAAATATGAAGGTCAAATTAAAACATAAAAATTCGAATTTAGGACTAAATCGAATTATAAACAAATCATGAAAGACCCGAATACTGAGATAACCCAAAAACTATAACTGATACCCAAATATTAAAAATGACAAAATCAGGACAATACAAAAACCTAAATTCTAAAACAAACCTTATTAATGACTAAAGTAAAAAACGTGGTGAAGTTACAATGACCTTAAAAGAATAAACCCTAAAAAGCCCTAAAGCTTTAATATAAAACCTAAAATAAAAAGAAAATAAACCTAACCTAATTTGTAATTTAAACACCCAGCCGCAAACACCATCTCCACTTCTCTTTTTCTCGTCTTCTCACTCTTCTCTACTCTCTAATCACACGAATGGCTGCCATGGTCTGAACCAAAGTCTCCATGGTTGCCACTCACGACGCAACTTACTCCAAAAGGCCTCCATGGTCGAAGCTCAGTCGTTACTCAAAGATGGCCACTCCTATCCTTCCTCATCATCTCGCACGATCATCACTCACCGGAGTATTCTAGGGCGGTCTTCGGATGACTTAAGTAAACTTGAATCGATCCCCCCTTTACTCTGTATACTCCTATTTTCTCTAAGTTGTTTCAGTTTACTTTTCTTATTTTTTATTTGGATTTCTATATGTTTCCTTTGACTGTTTTTGTTTTGTTTATCCTCTAAGCTTTCGAACGGTGGTTGCTTAAAGGAACCCGATGCTCACTAACACTCGGTCAACCATCACATAACAGCTACAATGCGAATTAAAAAAACCGAGCAAGGTGATGTAACTAACACATAATCTCTATATTATTACTTGCTTAGAAATAAAAACATTTAAAGGATACTGGAAATTGAAAGAAAGGTGAAAAGTACAAAAAAAAAAAAAACTGTTCTTTGCTTTCTATTACTTACTCTGTAATACAATGGTGAATCAAACTCCTGTTACAATGATTTTTCGAAGAGTTGAGTCCACCGTCACAAAATGATCCCCTGTGTTTTTATTCTGTTCCCCCCTCGTTCGTATTTTCTGCTTTGTCCTCCCCCTCTCTCTCCATAATCTGTTCGAATACCCTTGATTTATCATTGATCTCTTCACCAAATCCCTATGGCTGCATCTGAATTTGTCTTTGTGTTTGGTATGAAAATGAAAGGTTTAGGTGGGATTTAGGTGATCTGCTTTTGTTGATATCTTTTATTTGTTTTGCTGTTTGGTGGCCAACATGGTGATGATGACGGTTCGGCGGCTCGGCATTTGGCTGGAGCATTCGGCGATGGCGGTGGCGATGGCTCGGTGAGTCGGCTCACAACTGGTCGGGTTATTGGATCGGATTCATGGATCTGGATAGTACCCGGGTTTGATGATAGATTCTGCTGTTGGGTCGGATCTGCTTGTACTGGGCCTTGGTAGGCTGTTGGCCTTCTGGATTGTATTTTTGTTGGTAGACCTGTAAAACAGTGTAATAATACTAATTAATATAATAATAATAATAATAATAATAATAATAATAATAATAATAATAATAATAATAATAATAATATTTAAACCGGCAGATGTCTACACTGACAATTACCAAAGGTTTAAAAATCGAATCCAACTCTATCCCAAACACTATTTTTAACTCTCAATTAAAACCTACCAAAAATCAACTGCCAAACCGAATTCGGACCAAAACAACTGATTATTAAACCTAACAAAGAAGCAAGACAAACAAAATCCCAAACGGATACCAATCAAATTATACACGTAATAGATAAATGTACCAAGATCCAAATTTTTTCTAACAAAATTAATAAACCAGATTGGATTTCAATGAATATAACAATCCGATTGAAAAAAAAAGAATAAAAGAAGAGTATCTGGAAGGAAAATGAATGGTAAACAGCAAAAGCTTACCGGTATCAAACGAATCCAAATTGAAAAATTTGAGAATGTAGATAATGAACGATCACTGCTCGGCTAAGACTAACAAAGTACCACGGATGATAATTTGAATGAAAAACGAGTAATTAGAGAAATCTTGAAGTTCGAAATATGGGAATTGAATAGAAGAAAGGGGGAAAATGTAAGTAAATGTTGGGAAGTTGGGTATGGATAGAGGCAGTGCACTATGAGAAATGGAAATGAAGGAATGCAGTATACAAATATATAGAGAGAGAAGGCAGATCGCAAAGGTCAAAGAAAAACCCTAGCCGCCTTAGACAAAAAGATCCTTGTTCAGAAAACAGAAACCCTAAATCTTGAAAGGAAAATGGAGTTCCTCGACCCCCAAAACAAGGCTCAGCCTCCTAAACCCTACCGTTACGGCCTTCTATACCAGCCACTACTTTTTTTAAATAGGTTAAAATTTTAAGTTGTGTATTGAATTTAGGGTAAACTACATGTTTAGTATCTCAATTATTACTTTTATCGGTCATTCAATTATTTCTTCTCAGAAATATGTCTAACGCTACGTTTTGGTTTTATTTTGGTCACCCGACTTTAAAAAATTAGCAGAACTATTAATGTGATATTTTTTAAAAAAATTTCAATGATGACATGGTATTATCTTATAGTGACATGTTAGCATCACAGTTAATTTTTTAACGATTGGTGACCAAAATGAAACTAAATCGTAATATTAGGTGTGATTTTGAAATAAAAAATAGGTGAATGACTAAAATAGAATAAAAGTGATAATTAATGTACTAAACATATGATTAAGGCTTAATTTTATTACTAAATATTGAAATATTTTAATTTTAGTATTAAACTTTTATTTATATTTTTTATCATGGAAGAAATAAAAACTAAATTAAAAACTAACAATAGCCTCCTCAAACACCAATGTTTTTGTTTGTTTGTTATAGAATGAAGGATGCACTTAGTCCTAGGGCCGTAAATGAGACGAGACAGATCGCGAGCTACTCGAGATCGACTCGATCAAGGCTCGATAAATACTCGGCTCGAATGAACTCGACTCGAGTTCTTAATGAGCCGAAACGAGCTACTCGATATTCGACTCGAAAAGCTCGTGAGCACCTCAAAAAAATGTTATATTATAATTTTAGATTTTTTAAAATTACATTATAAAAAAGTTTTTAGAAATACATTATTGATAATTATAAAATTTTAACAATATAGTAAAAATTCAATAATACAACTACCCTCAATTTTTAATTTTTTTAATTAAGCAACCCAAGTCCAATTGTTACGTTGTATATTACTAAAAGAAAAATAAAAGCCCATTTAATTAAGCACATGTTAGATTACACCCTAAACCTTAAACTTAAGCCCTAAACTATAAACCCTAAAGTATATATTCTAAACCATAAACCCTAAAGTATACATTCTAAACCCTAAACCCTAAACCCTAAATCCTAAACCCTTAATCCAATTATGTGATAGGGTACTAAAAGAAAAATAAAAGCCCATTTAATTAAGCATATCTTAGATTACACCCTAAACTATAAACTATAAACTATAAACTATAAACTATAAACCATAAACCTTAAATCTCAAACCCTAAACTATAAGCCCTAACTATAAACCCTAAGACCTAAGCTTAAACCCTAAACCCTTATCTCGATTATGTGATAGGGGTTAAGTTATGCACATGAAGGTAACATACAAATTACACAAAATGAAAATAATGAAATTAAAAAGGGTTTATATGTAAATAAACTAATAAATCACACTTGGTCAAATCAATCAATAGGTCCATTATCAAAACAAACGGTGATCAAAACATAAAATAAAAATAAATTAACATCCAAAATCATAAAAACGTAAACCTTGATTAATGACAAAATCAAAAGATTACAAATATAACAGGTCCTAAAATGCTAATACTCCATTTTTAAAACACGGGCTTGAATACTTGTCCACTGTCCATGTTTCTCTGGTTTTCTTTTTCTCTCTTCAACTCTCTGTTTTGTGTATCCTCAAACTTTCTGCAACAAACATGGGGGCTTTGATTGACGCGTTTTCCACGACTCATAAAGGGAGGAACGATAAGAGCATGCTTATCAGAGGAAATCTCAACATCCTTCATTAATAATCAATCAGATGTAAGCCACGAGTGTAATAGCAAACTCAAATGAACATTTTTTATGGTAAAACCAATTCACCTCGCCATATGTCAGGTGAGGGACCTTTGAATCAACAGATGTAGCATCGAGCTCTGCCAGGGTGCTCAAACCTGAAGCGTGAGATCGGGAAGAACGAACTCATTCCTGTTGTGAGAACCAGCAATGAGTCTTCCTTTGGTGTCCATCTAGCTCCCAAACCCCGACAATAAAAACAAACCCAGGTTAAATAAAAGCTTTAAAAGCAACAGAAACACACTAAAATGGAGTTATTCTCTCTTTCTGTCCATCACTCAAAACTAATAAAGACCCAAGCTATACCCCCCTCTTAGACTCTCTGTTCCTCTCAGGCACCAATTACAGGGAAGAAGAAACCCACATTATAGATAGAAGCACGTGACGGTGACCGAGAACGTGGATCCGAACAGGGTATTGAAGAGGGTGAAGAGCATGGGGAAGAGGGCGGAGTTCTAACCGTATATCCACTCATATCATGTGGCCTTATATCTCACATCTTTAAGATAAAAGCAAGTTCTCCGCAAGTGATCTTATAAATTAAAGCTCAAACTCAATGGTTTAATTTATGGAGCCGCACTGTGAGCACTCGAGCTTTAATTGAGCTTGAATCAAACTCAAAATTGAGCTTTAGTCGAGCTTTTAAATTTTTTTTTGTGTTCGAGCCTTTTTGAGTTTGAGTCGAGCTTAAAAATTTTAGGCTTGCGAATTTTCGAGTCGAGTTTACATTAAAAGTTTTTGAGTTTGAGTCGAAATCGACAATACTCGAGTTCGACTTGGCTCGTTTACACCCTTACTTAGTCCAATTCTATATAAGTAGTTTTTCTTCTAGTACATTCATTTTTCAAGAGCATAGTTTTTCAAAACTTATTTAAAATTTATAATATTAAACATAAAAATTTGTAATTTGGGGTATTTGATCAAAAATTCAAACACTAAAACATTCTTTTAAGAATACGAACAAGTGCCAATAGAATAGTCTCATCGAAAATCATCGCTCGATATCAGAATATTAGAATCTCAAGTTTTTCGATTGATTTTCATCAATTTTGAGTAGATTTCGTAAAAAATCAATTCAAGAAAAATATAATGAAGTGCCAAAAGAATAGTCTCATCAAAAATCATCGTGCGATATCAGAATATTGGAATTTCAATCTTTTCGATTGATTTTCATTAATTTTGAATAAATTTTGTAAAAATCAATTCAAGAAAAATATAATGAAGTGAAGTGAAATATGAATATTTTGATATTCATCTTATTATGAATAATGACTAGTGCTAACGTACATACTCTGTAAATAAAACTATTCGAACCCAAACATATAGGAGGAATAAACTATTGTTTTATCACTGGACTACCCGATGGGTTTTCTTAAATAGAATTTGTATATATATTTATATCAATATTTGACAAAAAAATCATAAACCTCGTGATTTTCAGGCTCCAACTGGAGGAGTTTGGCCAATAATTAACCTAACTCAACGCGTTTATGAACCCTACAAGGTCCAAGTAAAGAACCCCAAAGCGCACCATCTTGTTTCATTTCCATAGTCTGAATTGTATCCTTCATCGGTCATTCGTGCGAAAAGCTCAATGGCCTCGTCAGCCAGCCTGTGCATTGCTAGTCCAGAAATCTAGATGTCATTGCACTCCAAGAAGCCAAACATTCTTTTGTCTATCAAAATTTCTAGAAGAACTCCTACATTAATCGATGTCACCGAAGTTTTATATCTTACGTATCGAACGCCACTCTTCATCTAAATAAAAGGGTAAATTGTGAATAACGTTTACAACCATCATTTTCCCATCAATGTAATTGAACCACAAGACTTGTAACACTAGGGATGCATAGTGAATCTTGTAGGGCGAGCAGGGTTGTTTGATGAAGCAGAAGCTTTGATTCAGATTATGGAAATTAAAGCAGATGGTGCAATCTGGGTTATTTGCTTGGACCTTGTAGGGTTCATAAATGTGTTGAGTTTGGTGACACGGTGGCCGAGCGGTTTCTTGAGTTGGAGCATGAAACTCTTGGGGTTTATGTTCTCTTGTCAAATATCTATGCAGGAGGACGATGTACTATAATTGCACATATCAACTTATTATAGAGCAATAGGCCTTTCATAATGATATTGCAATCCTATGTACAAGGTGAGTTTAAGATTGTATATTTAAAGTTTTTGAGTTTTGTTCTTTTATCGAATAAAATAAATGAATATAAATAAAATAAAAAATATCTTTAACCCGATTAACAACCACCACATGATTGTCATGTGACAAGAGATATACATATTGTAATACCATGATTTCTGGGTCAGTAGTTTTAATCAACCAGAAACCCGCCAACAGAGTCCATTAGATTCTTGCAAGCCAAATTAGACTAATTCTTTAGAGTATTGGGCCTAACCCCAAGAATTAAGATAAGTGATAGTTTTAAATTGAGGTAAAAAGGAGAGAGACCAAGTTAGCAATTTACCTATAGTTGTTTTAAAGGTTATAAACACATATCTTCTCCAGAAATTTCCACATGAAAAACCAAACCCAAAATATCTCCTCTTCTCCTCTTCCTTTCCTCTCCCACGATTAAACGAAGAGGTGAGAGCCATTGAGATTTCAAGCCTAGATTGAAGAAACCAAGGTAAGAAACCTATTCTTTATCTTCTAAGCTTCAATTAGAGCTTTAATCTTAAGATTTAGTTTAGATTTTCAAAAATGGGTTTTAAGAAATCAAGTGATTCAAGTCATTTGAAGAAACGATTTGAGTTATAGGGAGTGCATTTAAGTTTTATTTAGCCTCTAGTTGAGTAAATAACTCATTTCAAATACCTTGTTAGTGAAAGAGGTTGAAGAGAGTTCAAAAGCCAATGGTAAAAGAAAAGTGGATTCCTAGTTGTTTGAGAGAGGTTATAGCATCCAAAGAATCCATGTAACATACTATTAGCTTTTCTATACAAGTTGTAGAATCATTAGAAAGAATTTTAGCTTGAAAGTTGAGTACGAGCATGTTTAGTAGATTTACGTTGTAGATTTTATGTTTAATGTTATTAGCATATTTTAAAGCCTTAATTATGCTCCTTTATGATCACATAAGACATAATAATAAATATGAAACCTCAAGGTAGGAGTTTGGGGGACTTAGGAAAGC